AATAGTAATAGGAAGGAAAACACATGTTCACAAAACAATCTAAACCACAAACTAACACATCACTCAATAAGTCCGTAGGATGACACATAGATGGGGTTGCTAACTAACTAACCCATATGAGTTTTAGGAAGTACCAACATTAAAAAGATATCTGTCAAAATTTCATGACATCCGACGATTAGTTTACAAGTTACCGTGGTTCGAGTGACGCTACTTTTGTGATTTTCAAAACAATGAATTCAAAGCAATTTCGTGTGTTGATTTATCATTGCTTTTTGATGGGAAAAAATACTATCAGAGCCAAAGCATGGCTTGATAAGTGTTATCCGAACTCTGCTCCATCGAGGCAAATGGTGAAGAAGTGATTTGCTGATTTTAAACATGGCCCTACAGACACCGACGATGCTGAACGCTCTGGAAGGCGAATTGAGGTGGTTACACCGGAAAACATCAGAAAAGTACACAAAATCGTTTTGGAAAACCGTAAAGTGAAATTGCGTGAGATAGCTGACACCTTAAAGATATCAGAAGGCAGTGTGCACACTTTTTTGCATGATCATTTGTCCATGAGAAAGCTGTTTTCAAAGTGGGTGCCGCGTTTGCTCACAGTGGACCAAAAACAACAGGACTTTTTGCGTCGGTATGTGACAATGGACGAAACATGGATCCACCACCACACTCCAGAGTCAAATCTGCAGTCAGCTGAGTGGACTGTAGCCGGAGAACCACGTCCAAAGAGGCCAAAATCGCAAAAGTCGGCTGGCAAGGTTATGGCATCTGTATTTTGGGATGTGCAAGGAATTTTGTTCATCGACTATCTTGAGAAAGGGAAAAGAATCAATAGCGAATACTACATGGCTTTATTGGTGCGTTTGAAGGAAGAAATAACCAAAAAAACGACCTCACATGAAGAAGAAAAAAGTGCTCTTTCACCAAGACAATGCACCGTGTCCCAAGTCGATCGTAACGATAGCCAAATTGCACGAATTGGGCTTCAAATTGCTTCCACACCCCCCTTATTCTCCAGTTTTGGCTCCCAGCTACTACTACCTGTTCGCAGGCCTGAAAAAAATGCTCGCCGGAAAGAGATTTAGCTCGAATGAAGAGGTGATCGTCGAAACTGAAGCTTAATTTGAGGCCAAAGACAAATCGTTTTACAAAAAAGGTATCGAAATGCTAGAGCGGCGGCGTTGGACTGATTGTATCACTCTTGAAGGAATGTATGTTGATGAATAAAATCGAATTTTGCCAAAAAAAATGTGTTTTTCTTAGTTATCCTACGGACTAGTGATGTGCTAAAAAAATCGATTCTACAAAGAATCGATTATTTCATATCGGAAAATCGATATTTTGAATCGATTCTTGGACGGAACGATTCGATTCGATTTGATAAGAATCGGCAATTTTTTTTTCCTCGTTTATCGTTACTGGCTTACGGCCGATTGGTACCGTGCATATTTGGACGGAGATGTTGGCCACCCTGCATAACCACAGTTTCATTCGTGAATCGTTCTTTGTTCTTTGACTTTTGAGTAATTTCGTTTTTCCTCCAGCAGTCCAGCATCCAGCCATCTTTTGACTTTTCGTTCTCGTGCTTCGTGCCGTGTGGTCGTCGTGTTCGTAGTGTTCCGTCCAGCGTCAAACCTTCTTTAATCTTTTCGTTCTCGTACTTCGTGCCTCGTGGTGTTCGTAGTGTTCATACTTTCGTGTTTCGTAGTTCATCGTTTTCGTACCTCCGAAGTCAGATTTAAATTTTGCAGTTCGCTTCGCACAATCGCACATGATGTCGAAATCCAGGAGTGTGATTTGGGAATATTTTGAAAAAACGCCGAACGCAGAAGTTGTGACATGCAAACTATGTCACGCTTCAGTCAAACCATGTAGTAACACCACCAATATACGCAACCACATAAAAAGAAATCATCCTTCAATTAAACAAAGCAAGGTTTTCGTTGTAAGTAAGATTGGCCGAATACCACACTCAGTGGCAACTTGTTCCACAGAACCACTAGCAGAAAATGTTGACGATCCTGATGTAGTTACAGATGACATTGATTTTGCTGAGGTAGCTAGAAACATTGTAACTAAGGTAAGATACTAAGATGCAATATTACTAATAATGTGCTTAAAACATTAAACAATTTCCTTTTTTTTTAATACAGGCTCAACAAAAACAAGGGACACTTCATTTTGCTTCAACATCTTCAACTTCTTCTGGTATTGTAGACAATGATTCATCATTCAGTTTTAGTAGCAGTAGATCTCCATCTGTTCAGTCAATACAAACCACATCCGGCACATCCTCATCAAATACTCCACAGTCAGCGAACTTAAGTCTTAATAGGCAGAGCACAATATCTGAGTCCATTTCGAATATCAAATCTTATGATAGTAAGAGTACATTTTTTAATTCTTAGCTATAAAATTATAATAAATTGTCTACATTGTTTTTGAAAGAGGATATAAGACACGAGCCATCACGGATGCACTGATCTACATGGTTGCTAAAAATAATCTGCCGTTATCAATAACAGAAAAACAGGGCTTCCAATTTTTCATGCAGAAAGCAGCTCCTATGTACAAGGTTCCATGTAGGAAAACCTTAACTAAAATAATGAAAAGTAAATATGAAGTTTTATCCACATTAATCAAATCCAAACTAGGTCTTGTTGATTACTTAACCTTATCATCGGATATTTGGACTGACACACTAAATACAACGAGTTTTTTGGGAATGACTGCGCATTTTTTAAGTTTGGATAAAGTTACTCTTGACAGTGTCACAATTGGTGTTGGAGTTGTCTGCCAGCCATACAGCTGAGAATATTACCATTTGGTTTGAACATATTCTTGTTCAATGTGGTATTCAAAAAAGCCAGATTTTCACCGTCGTCACCGATAATGGGGCAAATATATTATCTGCCGTAAATAAAACTTTTACCCCCGATAAACATTTGCCATGTTTTTCCCACACCCTCAATTTGGTTTCTGAAAGGGCACTGGCAAATCTTCCCGATGTGCATCATGTAATAAATAAAATTAAAAGTATTGTAACATTTTTCAATCAATCGGTAGCGGCTTCCGACGAACTTAGAAAATTGTGTGATTTCAAATTAAAACAATCGGTATCAACACGTTGAAACTCAATTTATTTTATGATTGACAGATTCCTCTTATGTTCGAACCACATAAACTCTATTCCAAATAAGATCAGGCTACGGCGGCGACCAGATGTCGTCGGGCGGCGGTCAGGCCCCACCTATTTTACTCCCCACTACATCAACCACCTGTTCGACTGTAGCTCTACCGACGGCGGCGGTGTGTAACGTGCTGCAATATAACGCGACGACGCTTACATGCTTACCGGTGAATTACGCGCCAGTCCGTTTAAAACGATTTTTTTTGTGATTATAATTTGTGTTTTACGTATTATATAATGGGAGATAATACAGAAATAATTACGGGTGATATCCCTGAACTCGAAGGTTGTATGCCTCTGCAGCCTGAAGAGGTAACTACTATTTCTCCAACAACGAAAAATAAAACTGGAAAAGTAAGTAATAATATTAACAGTTTTTACCCAAATAAAAACACATAACAATTTATATAATATTCAAATATTTAATTATTTGATATTTAAAATATTATTGCCTATATATTATTATTTATATGTTTTTTTACAGTGTGTGTCCAGTAGTCAAAAAATAATGATTGTTAATATTTACAAGGATATCATTTCTAAAACACCAGGCATAAAATATTTGGATATTATTAACCGTATTAGAGAGTTAACTGGTTTGGGACGAGACACCGTAAAGAATACTATCAGTCAGTACAAAACCACAAAAACAGTATCTTCTCCCAACAGGAAAAGAGCAAAGGCTTCACTGTTTGACAAAATTGATGATCTTGACCGCACAGGATTACGTCGGACAATCCATTCTGTTTGGTTAAAGCGTGAACTACCAACCATCGACCGAATTTTATTTGATGTCAACGCGGATCCGTCGCTTCCAAATTTTAAAAGAACATCTTTGTATCGTGTCATCAAAAAATTGGATTTTGTATTTGCAAAAAGAACAAGATGCAGTGTGCTGACCGAGAGGGAAGACCTTATTGTTTGGCGTCGCAAGTATTTATACGACATTCGAAAATACAGACAAGAAGGTCGAACTATATATTATCTGGACGAGACTTGGTTGAACGCCGGCGATTGTGTCGATCGTGTTTGGAAGGACAATACGGTTCTCTCCAAACATGATGCATTTAACAAAGGCCTCACAACCGGTGCAAAAAACCCATCCGGTAAAGGGAAGCGACTCATTATACTACATATTGGGTCGGAGAATGGTTTTCTGCCAGGTGGCCTGCTGTGTTTCATTTCCAAAAAAAATACCGGAGATTATCATGACGAGATGAATGGGGATAACTTCAAACAGTGGTTCGAGAACATTCTCCCTTTACTTGACCCAAATTCCATTATCGTCATGGACAACGCGCCGTACCATTTGGTAGAATTGGAAAAATATCCAAATACCAGTTGGAAAAAAGCAGCTATATTTGAGTGGCTCAGTTCCAAGTATGTCGATCGCGAACGACCGTTGTCATCGTTATTGAAATCCGAACTTCTGGCGATATCAAACAAAATGCGACCTGATTCTAAATCGTATGTAATCGACAACTTGGCCAAGGATAACGGACATACCGTACTCCGATTACCACCGTACCATTGCGAATTCAATCCCATTGAATTGGCATGGGCGATGGTAAAAGGATACGTGAAGCAGAACAACACCACTTTCCAAATCGACGATGTTCGCCAACTAGTAAATACAGCGATTGAAAGGGTTACTCCTCAAAATTGGAAAAATTTTATAAAACACGTCATTGAAGAAGAGTGCAAAATATGGAAAGTGGACGATATCATGGACGATATGATAGATTCTTTGGAACCTTGTATTATGACGTTAACAGGAGAAACAACCTCATCAAATTCTTCGGAGTAACCAATTTATATTTTTCTATCATGTTTAAATTTTTTATGATTTTTATTTTTTTATCATGATTTATGTTTTTAATCATTTTTTTTTTATTATAATTAAGTGTAAATAATTAAATTATAGAAATTTGTTTTTACGTACCTACAACATTAGGTAATAAAAATTATAAATTGAGCAAATGAAAATCGATGTTGTACTGATAGCGTGTACTGACGTACGTATGTGATTATGTGGCGCGCGAGTGACGGTACGGAAAAATACATCGCGACGTACCGCTCCGCACTCCATCTGTTTCAGAGTATACAATGCAATTTAAGTTATTTGTTCAGGTCACTGGTTTACGATTGACTAATTACGTCGCTCTAGTTGTCGGGCCGCGGCGGCAAAGTTCGAGGTCCGTGCTCGTAGTGAAGCCACGCCCATGCGCACAACTTGGCCGCCGTAGCCTGGTCTTATTTGGAATAGAGTATAGCTTCAGTTTTAATTAATATTCGCCGGGGTCCCGAAATGTTGACAGTTGATGAAATTGATATAGCGAAGGAGATGTTGTTAGTGTTAAAGCCAATGGAGGTGGCAACAAGGGAATTATGTGGTCAAAAATATGTTACAGGCAGCACAGTTATACCCTTAATTCACTGCCTTATTAAAAAAACATAGGGTATTGATTTAACCCATCCAATAGCTTTAACCTTAAGGAGAGCTATTTTAGACAATTTGAATAAAAGATTCGGTAGGATGGAGGAGAGAAGTCTTCTAAACATTTCAACCATATTAGATCCTAGATTTAAAACTATTCATTTGAATAACGCATTAGCCTGTTCAAGACCTATTAAATGTATTAAAAATCAAATTATTGAAATCAAAAGTAATTGTGATGAACCTAGCTCCTCAAACCAAGGATCTAGTGATGATGATGTTGAAAATAGTGATAGTTTGTGGTCAGTTCACAATGAGTTGGTTACAAAAAAAAAAGCTGCATCACAAAGTTTAGAACAGTCTGAAGAGCGAATTCCTACCGAACTTAATCATTATTTAAACCAGCCCACAATACCGTTAGGTGATGACATTCTAAAATATTGGGATATAAATGGTAATATGTTCCCTCTTTTAAAAAAAATTGTACAGCCATATTTGTCCGTAGTAGCAACTTCCGTCCCTTCGGAAAGATTATTTTCTAAAGCGGAAAATATAATGACTGAAAAAAGAAACCGATTAAAGGGGGAGAAGTTGCAACAGCTTTTATTTCTGAGTTCCCAAAATTTTGAAGACTGGCACATAGAATAAAAATAATTTATCTGTACAGTTTTTTGTATATAATATTATAATATAATTTGTAAATATCTGTAATGTAAATGTATCTGTACAGCCTTTTGTATATAATATAATTTGTAAATATGTGTAATGTAAATATATCTGTACAGCCTTTTGTATATTATATAAGTTGTAAATATGTGTACCTAATATAATGTATCTGTACAGCCTTTTGTATATATAATTTGTAAATATGTATAATGTAATTATCTGTATATTATTTGTTAATATGTACAAAACTTTTAATGAATCAATAGTGAGCTAATGGTACCTTAAACAAGATTAAGTGGCCCACGATTGGTAATTAAAATTTAATAATTATTGTAAAAAAATATGTAAAAGTACCAATGATACAATAAATAAAAAAAAAACACAGTGTCCATAGTCATTGTTGTGTTATTTATCTACCTTCATTAAATACCTTAATCTTAACTCATTCAATTTAAACTTAAATTGTATCAGATTCTTACTTATTATATATTACATTATATACTTTGGTACTATTTTATGTTAATGCTAGACGTTGTTGGGGAGTAACTTAACTTAAGTTATAAGTTACTGTAACAAAATTTTTTTTAAGTAATTTGATGGTAATTTAATTACATTTTACTGTAAGTAATGCAAATGTAACTTAAGTTACTTTTTTGTATTAATTATTACTAAATTACTGGTTACTTTTTTTTGTTATTTAACTATTTTAAAAAACATGCAAACAATATTATTTTTTTAAAGTATAATACGCCTTTACCCTCAATTACTTCTGTTGAACTTTTGTTTAGCATAGCAGAATATAATATATATATGCACTACAAAGTGATCTAAAATTAGTGACTGTAATTTTAAAAACGCTGTGTTGTTTAAAATAAATTTGAAAAATAAAGATTAATATTCAATGTGCAGCAAAATTAGTATAAATCTATAATATAAAAATGAATCGCAAAATGTGTTGGTAAGCGCATAACTCAACAACGCCTGGACCAATTTGGCCAAATATTTTTTTCAAATGTTCGTTGAAGTTCAAGGATGATTTTTACGGCAAGAAAAATTAGAATTATTGCTGGAAAAACCCTAAAAATAGCCCTTTTCTTTTTCTAATACAAATTATTTGTAACTAAAACGAAGTCAATTTGAGTTTCATTGCTATGGTATAAAGTTCATATTAAATAAAACTATGTAAAATTAAAAACTTAATATGAAACTAACCACGAACAAATTAATTGTGAAACAATCAAATAATAACATAGGAAGTAAGCCACACACAAATCATGTAAACAATTGTAAGAAAATGCTGCAAATTGCAAGACAACACAATCTCATGATTCGAATGTGTTGATCAAGGACAAGGACAACTACTTCTCAAAAAACATAAAAATTAACCAACAAGATCAAACAGCATACAAGGTGTGTTAAATACTTAAAATAACGGGAATTATTTAAATTCGAGGATTTGAAGAGCCCGAATATTAATTTTATTTTATTTATTATGTCGGTATAAATTCTCCTGATAGTATGATAAAATTTTCAACTTTATTCATTGTTTATTTGATTATCAGTGACAGCCACTACGGTTAAACGTGTTTATATGTATTTATATATATTTTTTTTATTTTTAAAATTAGATAAAAGAATTTACATCATTAACTCTAGTTTACATAAAACTTATACTTACAATGGCCGATGTCTAGGTATATACAATAAACAATAAATATGATAGTAATATTAAATTTAAAATTATACAAAATGCATTTATTAATTTAATTTTAATCTATAAATGCATCTCTATGAAGTTTTAGGACATTTGCGGTCAATTTATTTTTAATTAACAGACTATAAAATTTGAGGTACTATATATAATATTATATACCAATAGTACGCGAGGCGAAAAGTGAGCCGCGATCGTCACGCACCAAGTGGTCATAATTACTGATTTCAGGGGCTTTACGTTTCAGAGACATGGAAAGAGCTGGTGCTCATTTTAAAACGGCAAGTGGTAATGGTAATTTGTATTCATTCGTTTTCTATTCATTGAATTTTGGAAACCAATTTATTTTCATATGGTTGCAGCTTTTGCATTCCACAATAATTTGTTTGGTAAGACATTCGTGATATGAATCTACACGTGTCATTAATCACTTATAATAATCTACGTTTGCATATCATAAGTTTTTAAAGTGCGCTCATTTAACGATTAAATGTTTGTGGTATTTAAATTATTTATTTATAAAAATATTTTTAAAATGGCATATTATCAAGACACATGTTACATCTTAAATATCGTCTTATCATTGTGTATTGCGTTTATGGTGATATTCGTCGTTGTAAATAGCCATCATAGAGTTTGAAACCGCCCTAGTACCGGCACTTGCCGAGGTGTACGGAGATAAGATCACAAAATCCGATATATGCAAAGTTCTTGGCTGTCAGTCCAATCTAGCCCTCTTCCCAGTAGCACCTACAGTCTCTAGAATAACTTACGTAGAATCAGGTATTAGATACGAGATTCCTATCATTAACGAGTCTCTTAAGAATATCCGAGAAGTACATAATAAAAGGCGACCTAAAGTACCGACATCCGTGTTAGAACTACGAGCTTTAACTGAGACATTTGACAGTTTACCTCGACCCCCGAGCCTTCGATCCTTGGGAGGCCCCGTGTACCCAGTCGGTTCAAATATCCGGGCTAGGTTGTTGGAATCTCGTAGATCACAGTCACCGGCGTTGTTAAAAACATCAGCGCAGAATAAAATTATCACCACCGTGACTCCCTTGCCAGACTGTCAGAATCATCCAACAGTGGACAAACAAGATCGGTCTCAAGAGTCCTCACTCTCCGAATCTGATCCTGAAGACCCAGAGCGACATAGTTCTAGCTGCAACCAGCAATCCGATTCTTGGTCAAGCTCGTTTAACATCAATAACTCCGATATGGCTCATAACAATTCAATTACCTTTGATGGAGTCTTCGAAACGGGGTCGAGAACACCTCTGTTAGACCCGATATATTTGTCTACATTGACATCTAACTTTGGTCCCTATCGGAAATTAATCCTGACCTCATTATCCACGCAGTGGTTTAAGGCTCCGATAACTGCTTACGATGATACGATGATAATTGCTGCCAATGCTGTATGTGATGAACGTCTGAACATGCTTGATGCGTTCAGTGCTGCTAGACATGCAACTCTTCTAACAGGGGAGGAGTTAGCAGCTCCTTTTCTGCCGTCCTCCAGTTATATGTCTCCTAAAGAGGCAGATGATGAATTTTTGGCAATTGTTAGAAGCATGATGCGCTCTCAGGGGCTTACAGAAATGTTTGAAGGGCTTACACCAGCTACTTATACGGCATTGCGTCAAACTGCCGATCCTGCACTGCCACAAGTATACCCTTTTACAGAACAAGATCAGTTCAACATGACAACGAGTTTAGCAGTAAAACTGTTGAAGCTGTTATCAAAAATTCCATCTCGAGAGACTGCCGCTAATATTGGTGTGGCTACCATAACAAATCTGATTGTTGCCATTTGTAAGCAGGGGACTGTGTCTGGGCAGTTTGTAGACAAAATCAAAAGTGCCATACAAAAGGATATCGGAAGAACAATCCCGATCAAAGCTAACTACATCAGTAGCATCTGGGGAGCCTACGGGCAATACATTAATGAAACCAATGTTGGACCGTTAATGGACCATTTCCTCCAGCAATTAGGGCGATACATGCGTTATCTTTACGTGCGCTTAACGAG